GGTAAGAGGAGAGATTAGGGTCAAAATAAGGGGGGTGGAACTGTATGGGGAATATAACCAAAATGAAAATGCATACATTGTGCAAAAATGAAAAATGATGTAAGAATTAAATACAATAAAATATATTTAAAAAATACCCTTGTAGTGATATACAGGGTAATGTTTGACCAAATACCTGGGTATCTAGTGGCCCCATCAGGATGATGCATATAATTACCTCTTATATAACATTATGACTTTCCAGGTAGACGTACATTTTAGGGGGATGTCATTCAGTCCACTATAGGCTATTATTTTAAAAACCAGTCAAAAATGTTAAAAGGAATGTTGTTACTAATTTTTCTTTAAATGTGTAATTGTCTTTCACATGAAGAAGTATAGATGAAGATGAGAATAAGAGTGAATTCAGAGAATGAAGCCACATGACTGTTGAGTATAGATGATGGTGACAACTTAAAGTGTTTTATAGCAGAGGGTTGGCAAACTGAGCTTAGAATTGACTTTTTCTGCATGTGATTTTTTTTTTCAAGTTGCTGCTGCCATTTTTATTTGAAATCCACCTTGAAACCATAAGTTCATTTCCCCCGTTCAAGTATGTTTTGTATCTGTCTGACAGCTATTAGCAGTCTTATCTCCAAGACACATTATTGAAGTTTTAAGATTTTAGGTTCTTTTATTACTTTTTTAATTACAGAAAATCCATAAGTGAGCTTGTCTTGTGATCTTTATAATAAACTTACTTTGGCTATGTGATACTTGGCATGAGTCTTCTGTTTTATTCCCAAGAAAGGAAAGCATAACTTGGAGGTAAGTAGGCAGAGATGTCAGACACAATTGATGATTTGGAAGAATTTTAAATATTCCATTTGAATTAGCCCTTGAGTCAGAGCACACATCCTTATCTAGGGGCAGAGTACCCATCCATGCCATACTCGGGGGGCTGCAGTAGTAGCTGTGAACTCTCTGTGTACATTGTTAATGAATGGTGCACATCTGTTTTAGATAGATAATCAATTTTGAAATCCCTTGTTGTAAGGTAAGCTGTTAAAACAGAAATGTTAACTTCATGAGTTTAATGAGTAGCTTCAATGATAACTTAGTGACAGAGATGGAAAGAAAGTCAGGTGGGGGCCAGTGAGAAAGAGGAGAATGGAGCATTTAATGAGTATCCACTTGCAGACATGAATGTCAGCAGCAACAGTCTCCCTCCTGGAAAATGTCTTTCAACTGTGCATCCCATTACTATTCCTGCAGCCCATGGTGGCTTGGAGATTGAAGCAGAGTGTGTTTGTAAGAAAGCTCTCCTTTGCAACATAATGAGACCGAGGTGGGTAATTTGCAGAGATTGCTGGAGCAGTGGTCATATCTACAAAAAAAGCAACAGAATAAAAAGACCATGTTAAACAGGAGATGGCTTATAATGAGCCCAGAAATCATGTATCATCTAACCAGCTGGCTGGCATTTCCTCATCCCCAGTCTTCTCATGCAAACTGCTAAACATTCTATCCTCTTCTATTTTCTTAAGTTCTCTATACCTCTCATTTCTACCTAGGACATTAAAAGTATGAACTCTATCACTTGAAGAAATAAGAATGAAGCAGTTTTTATTATTCAATGGAAGTGTTTGCCTAAACGTGTGTATGGTATTATCTCATAAGGTGGTGAATCTAAGGCTGCTTCTGTTTATGCTTTGTTGTTGTTTAACACTCTTTCAATATTTCAAACCTTATATGTTCTGTGGACACTTTGACTGCCTAGTTTGAACACAGACAGTTTGCCTTTTCTTTCCAATCAAGTTAAATCGATGACACCTCCTCTCATTAGAAATTAGAAAGTCAAAATCATCTTGATTTCATCAACTGTTTCAGTAGTCAAGGAATTCCCACTTGTCTGCTCTTCTAGAACTTTATGGCTTATTACCCTTCTCTTTTCCAGAGCGTTCTTTTCTTGAAACCATGAGAAAGCAATAACAATCCCTAAGTGCACATCTGTAAATGAAACACTAATGTAACATATTTTGAACCATAAAAAAAAAAACTGTTTCTAAACATGTGTTCCATTTTTGTTGCATAATCTCGTTGCCAGTAGTTTGAGATGTTCATGAAATTTCTGACTTAGAAAAAAGTTAAAACTATCAAATAACTTTATATACATACATATATATATATATATATATATATATATATATATATATATATATAGACTCAGATGAGGCATACATGACTGAGATTCATCTGGACCTTTAGGAGAGCAATGCCTCAGGAATGTGAGGTATGCTGTTGAGCTATCATTGAAACCATGACCCCTGCCCTGTTACTGGTTGGTCTCAACTTCTGGTCCCTACATCTGATGGTGGAGGTCCCGTTAGTGACCCGGGCTTAATGTCACATTGAATGCAAAGTTAGGGCCAGATTCTTAGTTTGTAGGACTGTATGAGGAGAAATTTATTTCAGTAATGTGATTTCCATTCAAATTTTCAACTATGATTGAAGGGATCTGGCAATCACCCAAGAAAAATATGGTGGAAAGGGGAGCAAGAGGGCAGGAAATGTCAGTGCTGTGGACATTTGGAAAAAGAGACTAGGATTTTTTTACAAATTTTTCTGTCAGATCCAGAAATCGCTACTTAATACCACAAATCTTTTCCTATTTAAAAAAAAAAAGTAAGTGAAGAGGTGAGTATAGTGGATTGGCAAATGTAGGTGGCCAATGACTCTCCAGCTCTGTATGCTTTCTAGCCACTGCTGAAACTCCAGTGAACCTTTAATGTATATGAGGATCTTGTGTCTGTGTTCCTTCATGTGTCTGTGTTTGTGCATGTGTGTGTGTGGGGAGGGGTGTTATAAGGCAGGGTGCTTAAATGCTTTGTTGCATTATGTTAATTCCTCAGCAGTGCAATCAAATTCATGTCATAATTAAAGCTGTCAGTTGGAAGGCAAGCCAATCGCCACGAAAACACAGCATAACAAATGAAGTGAAATGATTCTGCGTGTAGCTATACAATGCTTCGCCAGGCATGAAATTAAATAAGTAATTTGATGTTGACATCAGAAATTGAAATGATACCCACTGTTCCCTCATTCAGTCAGACCTGCATAAACAATAGCCAGAACAAATATGCACAACAAAGCCCTCTTCTCCACCCAGCTCCCTGAGTAATGTACAATATATATGCAAAATGAGTATAACAGAGCTTTCCAAGACCTGAAGGATGTAATTTTCTTTGGTATACAATAAGATATGTATATGGGGGTGAAGAGGTGAGTTTGGAGGGGTATTCTGCTTCTGGGAGAAAATACATTTGTAGAACGGGGGGAAAATGAAATAAACAAATCCTATATTCTCTCTGAGTAATTCAACCTAAAATGAGTTTACCTCCCAGGGACATGACTCCAGACTGATGGAGACCTAACTTGGCTTTTGCTTTTCCCTGCTTCATGGAGAGCTGTGGTGCTGAAAACAGGTGATGCCATCACATGGCTAATCAGTGCTTTGAGAAGCTGTCTCCATGACTACTGTGGATCTTCCTACATACCATTTGTGGGATCAAGAATGCAGCAGGATGTTTTTACACCTAGTCCGGGGTGCAAGATCATACATTTATCATCTGTCCTTTATTCCTCTGAGCAATCTGAAACACTGAGGTGAAGAAAGTTTTGCTTGGGGAACTGCCTTTAGGAATGCCCTGGAGCATACTATCCTTATTTGATGTGTATGCTGTTTGTACCTGTAGAATTGTGTTTTCCTCTAAAAAGCATTTTAAAATCAAGAAGAATCACATCTACTGTACTTTTGGAGATTCTAAACCTAAGCCTTTTTCCTCCTGTACTACCCATTCATTCATTTATTTACACATTAATTGAACAAATATTTATTAATTATATCCCTTATACAAGAATTATGTTAACCTCTGGGAAAGACATGTTGAGTAACCTAGACAGACCCTGCTGCCTGTGGTTTGCATTGCAAAACAGCACATTTAGGTAGAAGAGCAGTAGATGTCAGGCCACTCCAAGGAAGGAGTAACATGAGATCCAAACTGGTGAAGGAAAAGGCACTGGTGGTGCAAGGAGGCTTGGCTGATACCTGAAGAAGCCTCAGCATATTTTGTTTTGCACTTATCTGGAGCCTCTCTTATTCACAAAGAGAACACCAAATATTGAATAATTTTTAAAGAGCTACTTTAGGAAATAAAGACGCACACAAACAATAAGAATGATTCACAGGTAGGTTTAAAACACAAAACCAGTTTCTTTTATTGGCCTCTTTCCCCAAAGAAGTGATGCCTTACAAACCTTCCAGAATTCTGTGTTTTAGTTCCCTGTGTGTCAGAACTATGGAAGCCTAAATTGATCATTCTTGTGACTAAAACCTTCAGGAAAAAATGGTCCTTTTCACTGCTTCCCTTTGCCCACACATTCTTTGCATTTTAGTCTACTAATTATGTTTACAAAATGTCTCATTTTTGAAAAGTGCCTTGTGTGTACTAACTGGTGCCTTTAGGGAATAAACTGGCAAGTAGGTCATACACTGGAAAAGTCATCTAAACCCACTGGGCCTTTTATTTTCAAGTCAGTCTGGGCTTTTTCTTCTTCCTGTCCCTTTGCGGCCACAAAACTGAGTAGCTTGAGACCAGGGCATTGAATGTCAGCGAGTCAGGGAGGCAGGCTGATGCGTGTCTGTTTAGTCTCAGTGCAGGGCGAAATGCCATCATTAATTCATTACCCAGCTGCCTGTCAAATAAATTGGCAATTACGTCCACCGCAGAAGCTTGGAATTCAGTAAATAGCACGTTAGCATCTCTGAGTTGTTGAGAGATGTAAAGGGAAAAATTAAGCAACATGGTGTTTGTATCAGTAGCAGATGACAAGGGGCAGCATACACTGGTGATGTGATGTAGTGATGAAAAGCCTGCAAAGGGCTGGTAATGAGCTGTGTGGATTGGAACGTGTTAAAAACCATTGCTGATTTTCCACTTTGTCTTTATGCTTTATTGCAGAGTTCAGCTCCTTCCAGCTTGGGAACAGGCTACTTCGTAAGTTTATTTCAACTTTCATATGTGCCTTGCTTTGGCATTGATTTATTTCTGTAATGTATGCTCATTAGGATGTGAAAAAAAAATCTAAGAAATTCCCTCTATCCTAAAGAGCACACTGATCTCCATGCTTTTTTACTAAGAATTGTTTTATTTTAAAAATACATAACTTGCCAGGCCCTTGGGAACACGTCAGTCTGAGATGTATGTCTGGTTCCCCACACACAGGAGATTTCTCCTTACCTGGAAATGTAAAGAGACACGAGGAAACCAGGTTGGCTCATGCCACGTTTCCTAGTAGTTGTTTATTTAAGTGAGAAGTGTCATGTGGAGGATGGAAGTCAGGTTATGAATTGAAGTGTTTATTCATTCTTAAGATTTCTTGAACAACTACCTCAAATATACAATCAATTGCCAATTGATTGATTTTTATGAGAAGTGTGTTTTAATACATATTTTCTCTCACAGCCTGAGTATATGGCCTTTAGAATTTTTTTCAGTGATCATTACATTTTTAATTTTAGCAAATATGTGTATTATTTTATTGCTCTATCTTATTCTGTCCATTGGGAAGAGTGGTGAGGTCGCAGGCCTCAGGGATTATCACCTTATTTCTCAGTTACAGAGAAATAGTCATTTTATTTCTTTTATTTATGGTATTACCCTTTTGGATTTAATGATCCTTACAATATATAAATTAAAGGGTTACAATTAGGTACTGTTTGAACAACATGGTAACATGCGAATGTAGAAGCTTGTTATTTAAAATAATCTGACTTGTATTCTGAATGATGAACACTGAAATTCTAATGCCTATCTACTATTTTCTGAGAAAATAATGAAATCACAAAAACAAAGTGGGAAATAACAGTTTAGTCTCATTTAAATTTCCTCTGAAATGCCAATAATTAATCCAGTTTTCTTCTGCCCTCTATACATTTACATTAAGTATATGAAAACTAGCATCATTTCGGTGAATAAGTCTTTTCTAAGTTTGGCAGAACTGGCATTTTCCAAGTCTTGTTTTATCTTTCCTTAACCTGTGATATGTGGAGAAAAAAGATAAAGATTTTTGATACCTGCTTAATACAGTCAGCACACTTATCCTTGCTCCTTATTGTGGCTGAATATTCATGCTTACAGAAACAAGAAGCATTCTGCTTCAGCAGTCGAAATAACAGAAGTAGGCCCATCTGCCATCTCTTCACACCATGCTGGATGTGGGTTGAGATGCTGGAAGTAAAATCAGGAGACTGCCAATATCTATTCTGTATCCAAAAGCTAAATTCTCCCTCTTGCTTTTTTCTCCAGAACAAGGCCAAAACCACTAACTTAACCCTTGATCACCTCTAGACTGAATATTCTAGTATTTCATTTATTTATTTTTTGGTCAATATACTCACCCTGAAAGCATCTGTAGAAACAGTGAAGACTTTAGTATGATTTTCACCAATGTAGTTTTCTAATTCCAGAAATGGTGGTTCTGTGCAAAAATAAATAAAATGGAAAAACAAAACAAAACCCATTGATATTATTACCAAGTGCTCATTAAAACTGTTTTCTATTTCATCCCAACAATATCACATGTAATATTCAATTTCAGAAACTAACTTTAACAGTGGTGAGTTTCACACTTTTAAGTGGAAATAGTATAATCACAACTAACAATAGTTTCATGCCAACATATTCTTTACATCATGCTTTTATGATCTGTGATATCGTAATAGCCCTTCTTATTATGTCTGTAATGGAGGTTCAGCATCAGGTAAGTGGAATTGTGATATTTACTCTATTTTTAACCGTTTTCAGCATCTTTTTGAAACGTAGATGGAAGCAAGTTTTCTGCAGAGTAAATGAGCTATCAATGCCTAATGTGAATTCTGGTGTAAGGAAACTGGGCACTCACTTAATTGGGTTTAACAATTTTGAACTGTTTTCCTGAATACTCTTTTATGCTCCAACTTTAACTTCAGAATCTTCTTTGATTTGCATTATTTTGCCTTTGCAGAGTTTTTAGAGAACTAGGGTAATGTGCCAATCATTGTATATGCTGATAAACTAGACACCCACCCAGGTATATATGCACATGCACATATATGTGTGCACATAGATACACACACACACATACACACAAACACCAGTTGTCTTCAGCCAGTGTATTTCTGCTCTCTTTAAGTTCCTTTCATATATAATAGTGGCATACTAAAGGGCTTGAAGAAGAAGCCTTTGCTTTTTGATTCAGTTGTATTTGTTTACATCTCCTTGGTTTTGTGTTCTAAAGATGTCTGCTTAGGTCTGTCACTTTTCCAATCCATTTATAAGCGAAAATTTTGAGAAATGAGAACAGCAGCTAAAATCATTATTTACATAAGCATATTGCAAAGAATTCTTTAAGTAGACAAAATAGAGAAAGATTGGAACAAACTTTCCACATTTTGGGAGCTTTTGAATAATGTGGGTGTTGTACACACAGAGAGACACATACATATATATTCATTACATACTCATGCCCAGCTCATATTCTAAATATAAATGAAAGTATAGACTAGTTGGAATCTATTTGAATTTTTTTTTGGCAAGAGTACTAAAACTTGTTGGAGTGTGTAGGATTTTTTTTTTAATGTCAGTGCAGTGAACACATTTTCTCCTCAATTTAAATATTCTTGGCTATATTTTCATCTTATACATGTATTTGATGTTTTATTTGCATAGAGAACAATTATGAACTTTGAGACTAATAAAGAGCTTAGAGATGTGAAATCTAGTTGTTTGACCTTGGGCAGATTATTTCATATCTTTGATTCTGTTTTGATCTGTTCTTGTATGCACTTAATGACATTTAATGCATACGGAACAGGCATAATAATAGTAAATAATAAATGGTGTCTTGTTATTCCCAGCTAGTATGTGATAGAATAAATTTGATCTCATTAAGTGCCCATGAATTGTGTTGATATAGAATTAACACCAAAAATCACTGATACAGTAGTAAATTTTATAATTTGTATCTGTAAGATAGTCCATTCTCATTACATTGTTCTTACTTTCTTGGGGCCTGGGATTTTGCGTTTGATCAATTGTATACCGGTTTACTTCATTTAGGAATGTAAATAAGGAATTCATTCTCTGTGATCCATTGTGATCCTGATGATGTTGGAATGATGTATTCTCTGGATTGACCCCATATTATGGCCATTCCCTTCAATTTAAGTTGTTTATTTTGTTGCTCAGATTTGAGGAAAAGAATGCTAATAGCTCTTACAGTTGGATTGGGAGGTGTAGAAAGGCTTGTTTAGTGTATTTAAGTTGTTTCAGGTTGCATTACAGTGCTGTTACTTTCTGAAACCAAAAGTGGGTATGCAACATAACTGCATGGAGTAACTGAAAGTAGTAGAGTGAAAAGACTAGTGAGATCATTTCATGGTTGCCGTGTACTAGTGTGGAAAACTTTGGACTCATTCTTTACAAGTTCTTGATACCATATGCAAGTATTTGGTAGCTACTGTTGCAATGGGGGTAAATTACTTATAAGGAGAAACTTGATCCTCGGTGTAAAAGAAGCCTTTGTTTAGGTGATTTATGCTGCCTGTTTAGCCTTTCTGTATAATCTTCAGCCTTCTTTCAGATTTGAATCAGTGACTTAAGTCTATAGCGCCATATACTTTGGATTCCATGTTTGTAAACTTCAGTGATCTGGTGCAGCAGACTTCTCCTGCCTAGCCCGCTGCTCCCTTCAGCAGTGTATTTCAGTAGATCTGCCTATTCTGCTCCCCACTCTGTCTCTGGTGAATCCTCTCACCTCCCCCATACCTCTGGCCTACACCCCAGTTCTTGTATGAATAAATAAATAAATCTTTTAAAAAATAAACTTCAATGATCCAAAGATTTTTCTTAACAGTTTTCATAATAAGCTAATAATTTTCATCTTTCTCAACTGGATCACAACTTGTAATATACGTGCTTTACGATTATCGAGGAAACCAACCTACTTCTATCTAGTGATTAAAACTACCTCACTGTATAATAAAAGGGAATTTTGTAGTGGTACACATCCTAAATTAGGATTTATGTAATCACTGTTTTTTTGTGCGGAGATTACTTAAAAATTAGTGTTGATAGTGTCAGTAACAGGCAGCATATGAAAAATCATTGACCTGTGGCTTTCCATGCAGAGTTATAAGGTCATAAAGGAATTAAGCTATTTGCCTTGTTCTACGTTTGGCTGTAGAACCTTCAATTATCTCCTGATTTTCTTTGTTGTAATTTGTATGACATTCACTGCCGATCTGTGGTATTTTGTATAAACATTCTTGCTTTTCATTTTATCTGTTATTTTGATTCTTTTAAAATCACAGAGTGGATTTTATTGTTAGTCAAGAGTAGAATGATTTTCTTCTAAAAAGATTTTTTAAAGCATAATTGTTTATTTAATAGACTATGCTGTTCATTAAACAGATACTTTTCACATTTTGTCCTCAATAAGTATTAAAAGCCTTCTCTGACAGGCATTGTTCTGGGCTGTGGGTTATAGATGTGAAAAGTCATGGCTGTTCTCCTCTCGCTCCTTCATAATACATTTCAATATTGTTGACACTTTGTATTTAAATAAGAGGATTTCAGCTCTAAAGAGAACAGCCTACCATTATTTATGAAATTTCTTTGGGTTTCAAATTTAGAGTTGTAGATACATCCACCTGTCCTTGAATAGAGATGCATGCAAAGCAGAAGAAGGTTTTTTCCTACCTACCTACTTGGCAGTAATTGCTGGTGATGATGGGAGAGGAATTTTGTATTTCAAGCTTTTATTTATAAAAGTAATTAAATATTTTTAACAATGCCAAATATTTTAAACATGTCCGTCAAAATATTTATATTTATTAGTAGTTAACTGAGCAAATGAATCATTGGCCATTATAGCTTTACTGACAAAATTTCATTATAATCTAACATGCATTTTTAAAAATCTGACAAGTCAGCAGGAAAAAGAAAAATATCAGATG